CAAAAAGAGATTAGGGAGCTCTGGAGAGGTTTGTGGTTCAAATCGACCAGATGCTCTGCTGGAGAAGGAGGGGCAATCTCCTCCTGTACCAGTCAGATCTGATTTGATGAGACACACACACACACAAATAATAAAATTTAAAAGAAAGAAAATCAACCTGTACAAATACTGGTCTAGCACTTTATGAAGATAAAGCACAGAGGTTTCATTGGACATCAAATAGTGTCTTTTCATAAAACTTTATAGTTACAGTTTACTGCTTTTTCTCAGTAATTTGAGAATTATTTCTCAATGTAAATGTTCTTTAAAAAGATATTTTCTCCTTAAATTAAGAGTATTTCTATAGTCTATTCTCAAAATCTACCAAACCATTTTGAGTTATTCATCTGTGTCTTAAAATATATTACGGCTGGTGCTATGAAATGGAAACAGTTGTATATATGGACACCCAACTCTTGTTCTAGAGTTAAAAAGCGTGTGTCTCGAGTACTGAGAATGCCAGTAAGAAAAATTAACAAAGAAAACAGGTCATGGAAGGCCACTTTTTTAAAAAAAAATTATTCTTTTTTGCGTGTGTACCATCAAATCGGATCTGACTGGTACAGGAAGAGATTGCCCTTCTTTCTCCAGCAGAGCATCTGGCGGATTCAAACCACATTATCTCTGGGATTACAGTGCAGCTTCTTGCCACTAGGCCACCAGAGCTCCCTAGGGGGCACCTTTTTAAAGGAAATTTGGACAAACCTTTTGTTGAAAGTTGATGAAGATGAATAAATCATTCTAAATACTTATAATTTGAAAATTTAATCACCTTCTTTTTGGAAGGTGAACATTAAATGGTGGTTGTGGTTCTTATAAAGAGACATTTTAACCTAACAATTATCTTAAATCTAATTCATCACACTGTGTGATGCACACAGCAAAAACACTCTTCCAATCCACACAAATATCTGAAGAAGTAGATGCTACTTGATCACTTGCATTTTAGGGATAAATAAACTCATGCTTATGAAACTGATTTGTTCTAAGTTAAAAAGCGGGTTAAGTGCAGAGTCCTGGTTCTAAATGAATCAGGCTTCCTCTTAAGGCGCAGTTAAAATGAAACAGCCCTTTCTCAAAGATGACAGCTCTGGTGGCACAATCCCTAGGAGTTTGGTCTCTAACTGAAATGCTGAACCTCTCTGGCAGTTCGAATCCACCAGTGGCTCCACAGGAGACAGATGGGCAAATCTTCTCCCGTTCTAATTTATAGCCACAAAAGAAGCCACTGGAGGGTCAGCTATGAGTCAGTTCCAATTCCAAGGCAATGAGTGAGTTTTAAAAAGAGTCTCTATTTCTTCTATGCTGTTTCATTTAGAAAGGAAGTCTGAAATCTGTAATTCTCTAACTTAAATAGCACTTCAGCATCGAAGTAGAAAACCCTATTAACCTTTAACCTTCCAACCAACATCTCCTGATCAGGGAACTCGAGCAGAAAGCTTCGGATGCCAATCTTTAGCCTCATGTTTCACCCTTTTCTTTCCTAATCTGTATCAGAAAGGCTCGGCTGAGCAGGATCATTCCCAATGCTTAAATCCCAAATTTCTCTGTTTGGCAACGACACTGGTCTGGGACTCTAAAAATTATAAGCACCATTTCCCAGAGGAGAACATTTCCTTTATTAGCAACAGGCTTTGGAAATTCCATTTTCAGATACTAAATATAATAAAATGCTTCCAGGCTTTCATAATAAACACATTCTCCAGATTATCTGCAAAGTAATGATTGTCTACTTATTTATGACACAAGTTTACCACAGCGACTGGGCAACTGAAACACTTTACTGAGTCTTTCACATTTATTCCAGGTCTTCTGACCTGAAACTTTCCTCTGAATTCTTTAGTTATGAAATGTAGTTCCCATTCCACAAGTCACTTCCTTTAATAAAAAAAGAAAAAGACATTCTTTTTATTTTATTGTACTATTATTTTTGTATGTGTACTATCAAATCGGATCTGCCTGATACGGGAGGAGATTGTCCCTCCTTATCCAACAGAGCATGTGGTGGATTTGAACCACACACCTCTGGGATGGCAGTGCAGCTTCTTGCCATCAGGCCACCAGAGCTCCCTAGAAAAAGACATTCTTGTTTCACTACTTCTGAGTTCCTTGGGTTCTATCATTAATAGAAAACAAAGCAATGGTGGTGGGTTTGAACTACTGGCCTTTTGATTATATAGCCAAGTGTTTGAACCACAGTGCCACCAGGGCATCTTCTATCACAAAGATACTGCCAAGCCAGAATCATGAAAGTAGAGGGGCTTTTCCCCCCCCAGACTTTGAAAATGATTAAGTCAGGATTTTAAAAAGTCAGTAACATGTATATGTCAAAGGGAGTTGACTCATTCTTAAGGAGCTCTGGTGGCCTTTCGGAAAGAAGCTGCGCTCTAATCTCAAAGGCAAGCAGTTCAAACCCATCAGCAGCTCCATAGGAGAAGGATGGGCAATCTCCTCCTCTGGTGCAGTTTTACTGCCTCTGCAAACCCACTGGAGGATCAGCTATGGGTTGGCTCCAACTGGGCATACAACAATAAGAAGAATGTATTCTTATTCAAATCAATCCAGGAGAATTTAGAAATGCTGAGTGATGAGAAGGCTGAGCTGTTATCTTGTTCTGAGCTAATGGACCACATCAGGTTTTTAACAAAATGCTGTGGGTGCTGTTTTTCAGGAAGCGACATCAACTAGATGCCTCACAGCCACAGGCGCCCTCACTGTGAAAGTGCTGTGAACGCAGTTGTAACTTTAGGTCCTTCTAGTCTATGGGGGAGTGCCTCCCGTCCTCTGTCCCTAATGTATGACATGATAAAATAGTTCATTGATCAACTGGTGGCTTATCTCAGCAGAAGATATGCAAGGAAGACATCATGGTTATATCTTTAACCATTTAGTCCGTGCAATTATTACATCCTTTGATGTTGCAAGTGGTTTGCACTCAACAGCATCTGCTTCCTTAAAGATTACAGCCAAAATAACCCTTGAGAGACTCGGAAGTGGCTCCCCTGCAAGTTTGAGGGCTTTGGGTGTGCTTGTTTCAGGAAGCAACATCACCTCGTTTGGCTTGATTTTTCACACCTTCTAGAAACTGCAGAGTCCCATCAGCATCCAGGATAATTCCTTCCCAAATCTTACACCCTCCTTGCCCAAACCAACCTTGTTTCTGAAGGGGCCTTCTAAATAAACATGCATGCCCAAGTCCAAAATTCTCAAGGTCTAAAGTCTAAAATTCTACAACTGTTAGGTGTGGTTCTCCTCAGATGACCCACTGTCAACTGTTGTTGTTAAGTGTTGTCCGGTCAACTACAACTCATAGCAACCCTACGAACAAGAGATCTGAACCCTGACCTATCTTGCGTCATTCCGATGCGCTTGAGCTCACTGCTGCAGTCACTGTGTCAATCCATTTTGTGGGGAGGGTGTGTGTGTGTGTGTGTGTGTGTGTGTGTGTGTGACCTTCCTTTCTTTTGTTGATTTTCCAAGTATGATATCCCCTTCTGGGAAATAACCTCTTCTAGCAACATACCCAAAATGTTAGAGACAAAAAATGTTGCCATCCTTGCTTCCAAAGAGCACTCTGGCTGCACCTTCTTTAAGCTCTATCTGTTCTTTTGACAGTCCATGGGATATTCAGTACTCTCCTCCAACAGCGCGGCTCAAAGGCATCAATTCTGCTTGTCACCCTTATTTATTCACTGTCAACAGCAACCACTCAAAAAGTTGCAACTCTTTCATCTCAAACAAGCTCCCTGACTCAGTTTGCAAATGCCCATTTCCCTACTCTTACCAACATTCCTGAGTATAACTGCTCATTTGACATCATGTTGCCAAATCCTGAGAGCTCTCTAAGCCTTTTCCTTAACACCTGCTTCCTCCCTTAAAAACTATAGGCTCCACTAAGCGGATGCGGGGGGGGGAGGTGTCTGATGCAAAACAAACAGTTCCAGCCAATAGCCGAACAAGGACAGAGGTGGTGGGTGGCCTGTCCAATTACCCAAAACAGACAAGAAGTTCAGACGGACAGGCAAAAATCTCATGCTCAAAACCCTGCATGGAGCAAATAGAAGATATGCAGGTCACGTTTTGTAAAGTCCTAGGTTAACTGTGTCTTTATTCTGGTCCAGTCTCCCTCCAATCCATCCGACGCGGCATTGCCCAATTTCCCAAACACACTGCTCCTGACCTCTGCCAACTCTTAACAGTACAAACTGAACCAAGAAGTCCCAGATCAGTCAACGTTGTCCATTCACAATCAAGCTCCACCTGACTCCACACCCCTACGCAACCTTTCATTTCAACCGGAGGAGCTTGCCCACCCCTCTCACCCCCAACCAGCCGAGTGCCTGCCAAGATGGCCTCCCTTCCACCCTCATCCTCTCCCCCATCAATGTCCACACTTGGAAGCAGACAACAAGCTCATCTTTCCCGAATGGATCTTTCAACACCTGCTGGCCAAAGAACCACTGAGAGTGACAAAAGACCCTTCCGCTTAAAGTCGGCAGATGTAACTTACAAGAGGGGATGTACATCTTCTAGGAGGTAAACCTTTGCCTGACACCCCCTCCCAGTCAAAAAGATAAGTTTTCAAAGAGAGTGGAGAGCCTAAATCGTGCTCAGAGGAGCCACCTTCTACAAAAAGCTTTGTTGGGTAGCGATATCCTTACATCTGGAAGGGCTTATGGAGTAAGGGGACCCCAAAGAGTTCCCAGGCAAAGAGAAGCCCTGCGCGCTCCTTCCTGAATCCAGAACTACCCCTTCTCAACCCGACCCCGAGCAGATTCCAGGGTCTGGGTGCTGCGATCTGCGGGCCTCCGCGGACGCTCCCGCACCGGGGATCCTCAGGACCGGGGCCTCGGTCCGCGGCGACAAAGGGTCAGGGTGAAACGACCCCCTTGCGCGCGCCCTCCGCAGGCCGGCGGGGGACTCCGCTGCCCGAGGAGCGTCCACCCCGACATCGCCTCTACCTTGTCCTCGAGCGGTGCGTCCGGCTCGCGGGCCGTCCTCTGCCGCAGCTCCGTCATACTGGAGACCCCAGCGCGTCGTCGGCGCGGGAGAGCAGCGGAGCCGCCAGAGCGGGCAGCTCAGCGGGGGAGCGCACGGGTCCGCTGGGCCGGCCCTGCCCCGCCCAGCCCGAGCGGCGCGCAGCTCCTCGGCGCCTCGCAGGCCCACTGCCTCCCGGCCGCCTACCCTGGAGCCCCGGCCACGCCCAGCGCCGGCGCCGCCGCCCTTTCACCCGGCGGAGCGCGTGCGGCCTCCAGTCCCCGCCCGCTCGCCCCTCCTCCGGAGAGGAGCGTGCTGGAGCGAGCGCGCAAGCGCAGCACCGCCGTCTCGATCCCAGAGATCCACCAATGGCGCGAATCCGGCCGGAAGGCGGGGGCCTCGGGGGCGGCGTGTGGCGAAGTGATGAGGCACGTATTGGACAACAGGGTAAGAGGGCGGGCAAAAGTGTGTTTCCGAGGAAGAGATCAGCCAATGGGAACTCTGGGTTGATTGAGGCTGGCTGGAGCTGGCGCGCCGACAAGAGGCGCCCTGAGGAGCTTTACCTAGGTCAAAGGCTGTTGTCTGTACAGAGCAAGGGACCCTACGTGGTTTAAAATTAAGAAAGATGTGCTTCAGGGTTGTAACCTTTCTCCATATCTATTCTATTTGTATGCCGAACAAATTATTCGAGAAGCTGGAGTCGAAGAAGAAGAATGGCTTGAGGGTCCCAGGAAGACTCTTCAATAAGTTACGTTATGCAGATGATGTATTTCTTGCTGAAAGTGAGGAGTACTTGCTGGGGAAAAATCAAAGACTACAGCCTTCAACATGAATTGCATTTAAAAAAAATTACATCTCAGCAGCAAGAAAACAAAACTTGTCCCCACTGAATCAATATCATGAAAGAGTGGCAAAAGATTGAACATGCCAATGACTTTATCTTACTTGGATCCACAATCAGTATACTTGGTACTATCAGTCAGGAAATCTGGAGACATATAAAATTGGGAAAGTCTGCAGTCAGGATTCTCTCCAAATTATTAAGAAGCAGTGATGTCAGTTTGAGGACTAAGGTGCACCTGATTCAGGCCACGATCTTTTCAATCACTTGCTATAAATCTGGGAGCCAGACAATGAATAAGGATGACAGAAGAAGAATCGATGCCTTTGAGCTGTGGTGTTGGAGAAGAGTACTGAGTACCCCATGCACTGCCAAAAGAACAGATATACTTTTGGAGAAGATTCTTCCAGACTGCTTCTTGGAGACAAAAGTGATAAAGCTTCATCTTACATACTTTGGGAATGTTACTAGAAGAGATTACTCCTTGGAGAAGGACATTCTTGGGAAAGTGGAGGGTAAGCGAAAGAGAGAAAGACCTTCAACCAGATGGGTTGACAAAAGTGATTGCAACAATGGGCTTGGATATGTCAGAGATGATGAGGATGGCACAGAATAGGAGAAGGTACAGATCTGTTGTTTATGGAGTCATTGAGTCATACTCAGCAACACCTAACAATAACAGATCTTCTGGTGGGTCCAGTCTTTGCTCCCTTCACTGTCATACTTGGGTGTCCTCCCTGTCCAACTCTTTCTCCTAATATACCTAAGGAGGTGCAGTAGGAGAGACTGAAAGGAAGAACTAGATCCTTTGAAAGAGAAGGGTAGCACATGGTTACAATATTAAAGCTTTGCCTGTGTAGTTATTGAATGTTAACTGTGTGATTAACTGCCTCTGAAAACCTGCTTGAGGGTTGGCTCTGGGTCGGAACTGACTGGACAGTAACCAACAACAACAGACAAGGTCTAGAAAGCACCAAGCAAGATATACAAGGCTCATTTGATACCAGAACTCACACACATTACGCTGTACTGCCTCCCTGAACTCTTGTCACAGCACTGGTGATGTTTCAGCATTGTGTCAGTGCTTTCAGTACCTTGTAAGAGATGAAAGGCAAAGCTATTATAAAAGAGTCCGTGCCTTTAAGCATAGTGGAATTTAATAAGGAAAATTGGATATAATAAGGAGTTGGCATTGTATGAGTTCTGCATACTTGGGGAAACAGTGGGAATTCTGAAAATATATTTTCCTGATCGATGCATTCCTCTGTTCTTGTACCAGGGCTTGAAAGTAACAATATTCCTATTATTGTTAAAGAATAGTTATATAATAATTACTTTGCCTGGGGCCTTGGAGTCTCCCTCCACTCTGGAAGTGGGCTGGCTGGCTTCTCGATGGCGGTCTCATCTTGGTGGCAGTCAGGCAAGGGAAGTTTCCAGAGTCCTTTTTGTTGTGTGTTACTGTTCTTCCCGCCCCCCCCC